AAGACCGTACACCTTATCAGCACTGAAAACCCTAAAACACAGCTTTCACTTATTAGCTTACCAGCAGCTCCCGTCTCCCTATTCTAATATTTGTCCAGCTGAATTTGAATCCTCCCTACTCCCGGTTTCCACGTGTTCTTCCCACGAAAAAGGAGCCAAATACCCATCACCACGTAGCATAATTCTAACTTCCAATTGTGAACTGCTAGTGTGGAACAGACTCCCCATCCTATCCTTCCTCCAACTTACACTACCACCATCTTCAAACTTAGAATTTACAAACTAGTTTTAGTTTGAATGTTTTCTTCCCATTCGTATGCGCAGTATATAACGGGGTTAACCTAATTTCACTGGTGTAATAAATGTCTTTCAAGAGTAGCACAGATTAAAGAACGGACGCACATTCTACCACTTACAGTTTTAATTTTCTCCCTTAGATCGGCCCCCAAAAAGGTTTCTGTGTACCCATGATTTTGCGCATACACACACACATACAGCTTGTTATTGGACAGACTCCTAGACATGGTTGTTCAAGAAATGCTTCGAACTGTTGAACAGAAACTCAACTGGATTCAAACGGTGAAATTCCGAATGCTTAGGTCGGTGACAAATATATTTCACCACGAGTGAGAACAATCTCGTAGGACTAGTTCCGAGAACTTCACATCGATCTGGATAGAGTCAAACTCAGCGAATTTTGCACTTCTAAAGAAGCCTCGTTTATCAAGGCACGGATTTATCATCTTTGTGACCAGTATTTGGATATTCCCTCAAAAAGCGCCACACGAACGGTCACACAAAGTACGCAAATAACATTACTTGTCACCATCCACCCTACAGTGGAACAAAAATACCCAAACCCGAGTAAAACACAATAGCGAAGGCTCGACGACCGCAAAAATCATAAAGCAGAGTAAGCGTCGAGTGGAAGGTGAGCTATTGAGTTAGAGCACCAGTGTGAGTGCATTTACCAGAAACAGGCTAAAAATTCAGAGAGACGATTGTCCATGGAGGATGCACTCAACAAAGGCGCATACAGGTACTATAATTCATTGCATCGACTGGACAAATACTCCCAGTTGATGCTAGTCCTCCATCTGAAATGGAGGTATCTCGGGAAATAAGTTATCTCAAAAGGCATAAGGCCTCTGGCCCAGATGGGCTGTTCCCATCAGCGTTTAAGGATGGA